CGGGAGTCGACGGACGCTGGTTATTAATATATTGTAATAGAGTTTAAAATATGAATGGTTTTTTAGATAATTTCCAAATAAATATTAAGTAAAATAAAGGAGAATAATTCAAAATTTTTGTTAGAAAAATACAAATTAACGATGTAAAAATGTAGAAATTCGACACACGCAATTTTTTCTATGCATTGTCATAGTTCAGCAGTCGGATTACCTGATGGTTAGGAATCAGCGCCGCCCTTGGACACTCGTATTTAAGGGATTTAAGGATAGGGAAATTGAGGACTGAGGACAAGGGGAGGGGAAGGGATGGGATCTACGGTAACCTCACTCACACGGCGAAACACAACGTTAGAATACCTTTGAGTATAAGAAAAGTCCAGGTGACACAACAGTCGACTTTTAATATAAAAAGTCTATAAGCCCAAATCTACATAAAAGTATTACTTACTACCTATAATGTATTGTATATTATAACTCTTAAGAGTTTGTTAGTCGGAATTAACAAACGCTAATCTCCGAATATGCTAGTTTGAATTTGAGTATTTTATTATTTTATTTTTTTGTTAGATAGTCTATAATATCGGGGTATTTTTTTTACTTGCAATAAACTAGTGCTTGACTGCGATCCCACCTGATGGTAAGCAGTGATGCAATCGTTGATGGTAAGGCGCACTAGTTTATTAAGAGCCTATTCACTCTAGCCTTGAAGACACCTAAATTGTATTCGGACGGAAAGACTGCAGCCGGCAAACTGTTCCAATCCCTCGATGTACGCGGTAAAAATGACGAGGCAAAACGCTTAGTCCGGGCCGCAGGTGTCTCAACAACGTAGGGGTGAATATTCGCCGTACGCCGGGATGTCCGAAGGTGAAATTGGGATGGCGGAATCAAATCGTGCAATTCCTGGGCACACTCCCCAAAATGCATCCTGTAGAAAACCGCAAGGCTGGCTACTCTGCGCCTGTGCTCGAGACTTTGAAGATTGGAACCTAACCTAACCCAACCAAATCTGGATCACCAATCAGCCTCTTTGCACGCCTTTCCACCGAATCCAAAGCCGCTAGGTGGCATTTTGCAGCACCAGCCCATATGTGGCTGCAGTACTCCACACACGATCGGACCTGAGCTTTATACAACATTAGAAGCTGACTCGGTGTGAAGTACCGTCGGACTTTTGCAAGAACGCCGAGTTTTCTAGCAGCTACCTTGGCTCTGGACTCAATGAACCGCCCAAAATTGAGGTCTGAAGCCAGGGAGACATCCCGAAAAGCAGGAGCCAAGGGTAGGGTAAAAGATATAACATTATGACTAATATTATCCGAGTCTACCCACTTATAATGCTTCTCAAAACAATAATATTATAATTTTTTTAAAGTAATACAATACGTGAAACATGTATGAGCAAAACTAGAAATCTGACAAACTTAATAAAGTACTAAAATTTAAGTATACAAATAGATCAGTTATATTTTAACAATCATTTAATTAACAAATTAATATCGGAGCTACCAGCCATCAATCTTTATAAGAGCAAACACATTTTAATAAAATTATTCCATTGTGAGTGGTGGATAAAAGTAATTTGATTTGTATTTTACATTCGATATTACACGTTGAATATTTAATTTGTTATAATAAAACCTTATAACATTTTGCTTATAATTTTTAATAAATATTACGCTAAAAGGTTTTTTGAAAATATTCATTAAAAATAACACGAAACTACTGGTCAAAAAAGGTAGTGCACATAAAATGGACATGCGATTAAAACTCATGATGCAGCCATGACGCCATGTATACATATTGAAGAGTTGTTGAGGTCCCCGGTGCGGATCAGTCACTCAATTAAGAACCTTGTGTAGTTTTCATAGGGTTGAGATGACATTGTAAACAAATCTTAATCTATTAAGATATATAAAAACACTGAAAGACAATGTGTCAACTAGAAAAGCGTAGGTCAACGTATGAGGTATAATTGGGAAAACTCGATATAATTGACGTCATATCAATTCCATACCCATACATTGCATTTTCAAGTCTCTCGGCTGACAAAGACCTCATTCACCATTCTACTCTTTTTCCAAACTACTTCATGTGGTGATAAAAGCCTACAAGAAACATTTCATTTACTTTAAATTTTAAATTCTATTTTAAATATTATCTAACTATAGTTGACAAATCAGAACCACCAAACCAAAGAGGACATCTTTTATTGTAATTGGAACGGACTTTTGTATTTTACCTCATAATAATTTAAGTATAAACAACCACTTAACTAAATGAAACAAAGCATTATGTATCTCGTTCTACCACCGTAATACCAGTAAATCCTTCTAAAAGGGTGCAATCTAGGGTACAAAGGTACGGAAAATTAGTGGTTGGGCTTCGTGCCCTTTTCCGAATAAAGATTTTGGACTATAATCTCGCACTGTTACGTGGACTAGCATATGTATATTAAAACCACATTTTCTTCAATCGTCTTAACGTTACCATGATAACTGTTATAAAAGATAAAAGGACACACGATTAATTTCCGACCAATATCAATAAAATGTCGGTACTTTTAACAAGAGGAATTTAGCAATAAGCTTCATAAAAGCATGTGAAATTTTTATTCATGGCAACTTTACGCGAACTTGTTAAATTGTATGAAAAAAAAACATGTTTTCGAGTTTAAAACGTTCAGACGGAAACGATGAAGTCGTTTAAAGTATCAAGTATCCGTTTATTGAAAATAACAATTTACACCCGTGAATTAATCGGGAAATAATACTAAGCTCAAGTATTTTCAAGTCACAAAGGGACTCTTATTCAGTCGCTGTCGAGCAGCATTCAATGCTTGTCAAATAGTTTTAATTCGGGTGAAAAAAAGTAAAGACTGGTATTTAAAGTATAATTTTCAACTAGCGGCCTGCCTCTGGCCTTCGTGTGTGTCTTACTAACTCGCGAACGACGAAAAATCCCCCCTACAAAAAATCTTTTCATAACAACCTTCTCCTGTCGGGGATCAAGGGAGAATCTCCGGCCACCGTAAGCGCAGGTCTGCGGTCGGCGTGTAAGGGCAGCCCGTCGCCCGACCAGAACCAGGCCCGAGCGTACGGCGCGTAGCGTTCCGCGCGCGCCTCATAGAGCCAATAGACCACCACAGACTATAGAGGGCTGATGTTGGAGGCACCGCGACCTCGGACCAAAAAAAACAACCTTCTCCTAACAATAACGACAAAAACTAACAAAAACAATAAAAGAATTGGTAAGTATTGATGAGTTATGCGTTTGCCAGTATATTTTGCAATTAAATTATATACTATGTAGGTAGATAGATTTATAGTACCTACCTACCTACTACTATCGTAGGTATTTATACTCGAGGAACAGCTAAATACCTATTAAAACAATTTTCCAATTTCAATAACCACAAAATATTATAAAAGTTATATAATAAAGATTTCGAACGAGCGAATGAATCTATTTCATTACGCAAATATAGAAATTGATTTGTATTTCAATAACATATAATATTCAGTACCTTAATACACAATTTTTACACAATGTAATTCACAAGTCCCCAGGCATTAATTTACTTTTATTGACACGGTATTACTCGTATTGCTAGCAAATAGCTCTCAAATGGAAATCAAATTTTTTCATCAAATCTAATGAAAAAGCTCGATCCTGTGTATCTACGACGTAATAACTAAACGAATTTAATATATCAAGAATTTTAATATAGGCAATTTACTTCGTGAAATTCTTCGTACCTAAAAGGTTTTGTTTAACAAATTCATGTTTATATTGAGATCCTACGAATAGTTTAGTGATTCGGCTGATATGGAAGTGGCCTATAGCCGGGGATGGTGAATTATATAATGCAACACCTGTATTGACAAACTATATTCTAATTTGGTTATACTTCGACCAATAATCGCCTCATTGACAAGTTACTAAATATTGAATCTTTAACATCATCATCGTGATCATGAGCCCATTAGCGCCTACTGCTGAGCAAAGTCCTCTTCTTACTTGGAGAGGTATGATGTATGCACTACGCTTTCTCAAGGTGGATTGGCGATGTCAAACTTATAATTATTAGAAAATCGAAGTTCAGATTTTCACGATGTTTTCGTTCACCACACGTCAGAAGTGTCTAAATAACCATAAAGTACATATAACTCGGAGAAAGTCAAATTGGCACTTCCTAGGTTTCGAACTCTCATGCATGAGAAGCGAGCGCCATAACCTCCGAGCCACCAAAACGAATCTTTAGCAGCTTTCAACAAAATCTAAATTTATTAGTGTTCAATATAAACGCACGCAATTTCTTTAAAAGAACTCTTAAACACTAGCACTCTTTATAAACTCTCACAGTATAAATTAGAAGCATTTAAAATACTTTCAAATATTGTGTTACAAAGGCGCGAAATATTTACCAGAGACGTTCATAAAGAAGTGAAACAATTTCAATGCAAAGTAACGGTTGATTTATGAGTTTCGAAGCCTCTATTCATTCGTTTACGCCTTACCAATGGCATTTGCATGACAAACATTTAAAATGGAGCGTTTAAACCTTAGATATTAAAGATGTTTGGTAGACTTAAGCTAGGTTTACAAAGGCGAAGTTTTCGCCTGTAAATTTGCAAGGTTTTAGCCACAATTCCTTTGTCAAAGTCGCGTTTGTATACTTGGCTCATGAATAGGTATGTTTTATGTGAACCTAGCTTTAGGTTTTATATGAGACGCGATTTGTTAAGATTTTTCTTGTCGAATTTTACCACAACATGCTACGGCAGGTACTTGGGTATGTAAGCCTGATTTTAGAATAACCTTGCTGCAATACGAGGTATTTTTAGTGGAAGAACTTGTAGCGGCATTTTTTAGATATATAGGTAAAATACATATTTTGTGGTTTCATAGAAGGCCGCACATTATTAGGTACCTACAGCGTTTGCGTGGAATTGGCAACTAAAATATGTACTTCGTTTAACAAAACTAGTATTACTTACATCTTCTCCGATTTTCCCGCGCGAAAATATAACTTTTCCGACCGGCATTTTTGGCACAGGCAACTTGCACTCCAGCCCCAGCTTGTACCACATAGGTAAGCCATTTTTTGGCACCGCTCTCACGGGTTTTGGCACTGAATCGATCACTTTCTTCAATTCCGTCGGCTTCCTCAGTGTCAACAAAGTTGTGTCGACGTTATCAATATCGTCAATCGTAAGATTACTTGTTTTCCCTTCAGAAGCCATTATTTTATTTTTATTTTATTTCAATAATTCTAATATAAAAAATAATTTAATAAAAAGCCACGACGCGCCCGCTTTCGTGTTCGACCGAAAAATGTCAGAATTTGATGTTCTTTTTTTTAAAAATATTTTTTTAGTTTATGTTTTTATAACCTGCCTGTACTTGATTATCTGTCAATTTATTTAACTAAGTAGTTTTTATTGTGAATTTGTAATTTTTATTGCAATTACTAGATATATGTACTAGCTATACCTATGAACATATAATGGAGAAAGTTGGTTACTAGAATAGATATTATAGGTAAAGCATACAACTTCAAGCAAACAAATCGAGTTCTCCGAAATGAGATTGCAAGTTTGCATAGTATGTAATTTACATACCTACCTACTGATGAGTTATAGCGTAGCCACAATGTTTAATGCTGGAATTACTAACGTACCTTGTATACAAATGAATTACGTAATAAAATAAATGATAAATGAAAACCAAATGATCTAGCACTGGTTTGTAAGAAATAGATTGTACTAACTCGTTACTAGAGTGCCTGCAAAAGTCTTTGGGTTTGATTCTCGAGTTACACGAAATACTCGGGTTTTTAAAAATTGTATTTGGAGTCTCTAATCGGCTCATCCTTATTGCATGAGATTGATAATATAGGATAAATTGATGATTGAGGTTATTAGAAGGATGTAAGATCTATTTTTTTATGGAATAGATCGGCAAACGAGCAGACGGATTAACTGATGGTAAGCAATCAGCGCCGCCCATGGACAACCCCAATGGAGGAGTTACGAGTGCGTTGCCGACCTTAAAGGGATTAGGGATTTGGTGATTTAGGGATTGATGAGGGATTGGGAGAGGGCAAGACACAACGCTGTGGTTGTTTTACGCTGGTTTTCTGTGAGGCCGTGGTATCACTCCGGTCAAACCGACCCATTCGTGCCGAAGCATGGCTCGAAACCCTAAAATTAGTACTAGTTGTTTGTAGAGGGCTACATTTTCAATGTATGTACCTACATCTTTCTCAAACCTTAAAAACGAGTAATCATAGGTAATATTCTAAGTAACAATTAAGTACGGCTGTAAAACAATATTAGGACTCATTTTTTTAAATGGCTCCAATATCCATGTGTTGCCAAGAAGGTATGTCGTGCAACTGGGTTCGGTGCCAAGTGATCAGCGTTACGATAGGGGCTTCGATGCTAGTACTTGCCTACTGACTGCCAGCTGGTTTATCCCCCCACCCCCAACATTAAACTTTGAACATAGTGTCAGAACGAACGAAATTCGTGGAATTTATGTGAAAGTAGTCTGATTAAATGGGGTTCAGATCGAAGTTTGCTCGGGTTTTATATTCTATGAAGTTATTTACTATTTTAATAATTTAAATAAAATAGAATTTCGACTTCTAATTGGAAAATAGAACGTCAGGTTAGAGCCACAACTGTGATATCGTTATTAAAATTAATTTAACAAAAATAACAAATAGTGGCAACAAAATTGTTCGGTATAAGAATCACTACATATTTTAAATATTTTGACGAAAAAAAGCAAATACACACAACATTCCAGTATGAAATAAAAAAATATTATGATAATTTAATTTGAAAATAAGTATAATAGGTATTGAATTCTTAATAATTGTGAATTGTAAACTTAAAGTCAAACAAGCTCACAAAATATTTGAATTTCGAACAGTCTGCTTTAAATAGTAGGTATGTGTGTGTGTGACATCGAATCAATAACATTATATACACTGGATATCCTGGCGAAGGAAATTAAAATTCTTGGAAAGTACGTGCACCGCCCTGACGTTACCAAGTAAAAGTATACGTCGCTAGCTAGATTTGTTTTTATTTGTAAACTATGGGAATAAACTTGTGCTACATAATTTTCTTTAAATACACCATTAGGTATACTGTTGTTATTTCTTAGAATTAATTGTTATGTGTTGTTTGTTTCATTACGTTAAAGCGGCATGGAACGTTTAATACAATATTTTAAGTCCAAAATCTTAGAAACTGCTCGACCGATTTTAATGGAACTTCAGAAACTCATTCACAATTTATCGGGTCTAAAAACATAATAAAGTATATTTTATATGGTTTAAAAAAGACAGAGAGCGGAAATTTTAACTGTCTATTCTGTTTTTAATATTTAAGGCCTTAACTTGTTCCTTAGTCGAACCAAGTTTCATCAAAATCTGTCAAGTAGGTTGTACGTTTTTAAACTTGAAAGAATCTATGGCAACCAGTGCCATAAAACGCTTTTTATAATTCTGAAAAATAACTTCACTCTTATGTTAAGACTGAGGTTTACATTTCCTAGGTAGCTGAGGGGAGCTGATGTTATGAGCCTCTTTCCACAAATAAGGCATAACTACAATAAAGGGTCCAAACTCTGCAATACAGTTATCTGAAAAAACTAAAAAGCTCCAACAAAATTTGTTCGAGCACAGACTCAAAGCCGAGATTTCCGTTAATACAATCGCGCCTGCAGTCAATCGAACCAAACTAATTGAAACCAATAATTTGAGTGAACTGTAATATTATTTACTTTAAAATTTATTACAGATGACAATAATTATGTTTGTCATTAAATTAGGAACATACTCAAGTATTATTTCGGGGGTTGTGCCGAAGATCAGAGAGAGTCAGTAAGAGTCTGACTTTTCTGCTCGCCTCACTCAGGACGGGAGAGTCGTTCGACAGTAATATTACCCCTAAAAAAGGACTCAAATATGAACAAAACTTTGTATGTGCTTCATTTCAAACATTATTAACGTGTTGTATAGTAAATCTGATTTGTGTTCAATTAAAATTTGTATCAGATGCGGCCACAGTAATTAACAGCTGATGATAAAATTAATAACGCTTCAATTATTCACTGCGTATAGAGTTACTGATGATTTTATTGATATACTTGTGTCGTTGATAGAGTGGCTACAGGCTATTGTAACAGCTGAGCGACAATATATGTATGTATGTATATAAGTAATACCACGGTCTCGCAGAAAACTGGCGTGAAACAACCACAGCGTTGTGTTTGTGAGTGAGGTTACCGGAGGCCCAATCCTTGCCCTCACCCGATCCCTCCCCATACCCAAAATATTCAAATTCCTAATTACCAAAAGGTCGGCAACGCATTCGTAACTCCTCCGTCGTTGCGGGTGTCCATGGACGGCGCTGATTGCTTACCATCAGGTAATATGTACGCTAGTTTGCCGTCTAATAACATAAAACAATCTAGTGTGACTGGTAATTGATAACCGATATTTAAACACATGATAACAAACAATTCTCTCAAAGAAACTGTTTTTCTATACTCGTTAGTTTTATTTTTGTTACTACTTATAAGAGACTTCGCGCGTCCGCCGTGCATCGCCCGATCAGCTGTTAGCGGCGATGCCTCGCGCAACCGCGTTTGAACTTTGCACAGTAATTTTATGTTAGTAATAAAAATAAAACTAATTAGTATAGAGAAGAGTTTCTTTGGAAAAGTTGCTTGTTGTCATCACGTGTTTATGTAAAAATCGGTCACTAACTACCAGTCATACCCTTTATACATACATATACTAGCTGCTCTCGCGCGGTTTCACCCGCTGCTCTGCTCCATTTAATCGTAGCGTGATGTTTTATAGCTTATATAACACGCAGTAACCTTGTAGCTATATATCAGTAAAAGAATTTTGGCAATCCGACCAGCGGTTCCAAAGATTACCCCCTACATACAAACTTACAAATTTTACCTCTTTATAATATTAAGTATAGACGTAGGAGTTTGTAAAATGGAATACCAAGCCAATGTAAACTTGGGTGTTTTTGGACTCTGCGCTGAAACACTAAGACGTGACAGTTATTAACTGTTACCGAGGTGTCCATCACTCTGGTAGAAGGGACGAAACATTGCGGCTGGGCCAGCACGTGATCAATTTGAGTGTTTGATTGTTTTGAACTGATTGTAATACGATTGTCGACACAATAAACTGCAGAGTACGTGACAAGCCTTATGCCCTATAATTTGAAGATGAATGAAGACGAACGCCAACACACCCATTCATCATAATTATACTTAAAAATAAAACGTAGTTATGCAAACTATATAATATTATAAATGCGAAAATAACTCTGTCTGTCTGTTTGTCTTTTCTTCACGTCTAAACTACTGAACCGATTTCTGTGAAATTTGTTACAGACATAGTTTGAAACTAGAGAAAGGACATAGGATAGTTTTTATACAAAAAATTTGACGGAAGTCACTATTCCACGCAAACGAAATCGCGGGCAAAAGCTCATGTAAAAATAAATTAGACATTTAGGCGTATGTTATACAATAGGTTATCGTTAAGAACTTAATATCGATCCTGCGGTAAATATTAGGATGGAATGAGGAAAGACAGAGGAAAAATATAAAAAGTGTAGTTAATGATGTAAATTAACATTAGCAGGTAACAATAGAAAAAAAATACTCTTCGTATTAGGACTCGATCTCTAAAACTTTTTTTCTGAATACTATGTATTTAATTTTTTTTACTAGCCTGTAATGTCCCACTACTGGGCAAAGGGTCAAAAAGTCCCACACACGCTGCCACACCTCCCGATTCTTCGACCGTTTCCACCAGTCTCGACGATGTCTAGATGGTCACGCCATCTTTTCCACTGACAATAGTGACTCACACACACACACAGATGTAGTATTGAAAATATTTCTCATAATAAAGACACTAAACTTTAGAGAAAGATATCTAATTCTATGAACCGGTTCTAATCTTCCAATAAATCCTTGAACTGTTTTTTTAGCATCCGATAAACGAAATTGAAAGTTACCATCGATCTTAATAAACGTATAAACTTACTATTAAACTAAATCTTAAGTCATTCTGCGGTTCTGTGACCAGATGCATACATTTATAAAGTACCTAGTAAAATACGTCATGATTTCAATATTTATGTTAAAGGATGGCAATACACTAGAAACCCGTTTAGTGTTGAGGTATAACTGA